TAAAATAAACAACATCCTTAATGAAAATTACAGTCAAGACTAAATGGCCTGTCTCCCTGTAAAATTATACTGTGCATGTATCATATATGCTTTCTTTTAAACTGACACAGTAATCACACATGGAGTTGATTACTGGTGTGCTTGGGTACAACATGGTTTGTTTAACATGTCAAATGCATAGGTTATACAGCGTTAATTTGTAAGTCACAGGATGATTACAACTGGTGAAATGGGTATATGGAAACAGTCATGGACTGGCATTTGTCTAAGGAAATCAGAATTGATATAGTTCGGTTTATGCCAACACCTGATTTGAGGATGTATTAAAGTATGTATGAAGTTTAAGTTCTAAACATTACAACACTTGCAAGTGGTGTGCATGAGCTGACATACTGATTGTATTGATGCATTTATCAAGAAAAAACCTACCACCTCATATGTTTGTGATCATATGAAACAAATCTGCTTCCCTGATTATTCACAGTGCTATAAATACGGCAATACGTACGTAAACTGCCATATTAATATCAAAATATGTTTATTCTTCACAGATTCTGAATATCCTTCCCTGATGAAACACTGCTTAATGCAGTAGTGTACAAACATTGTCCTTCTCCAGTTAGAATGCATACGAAAAACATTTGTTCCCCTACAATTGGTACTAACGATGTCCACAAACTGTTCAAAATGCTGCTCTGAATGGTGAGTCTACTGATAACTCTAACCTCATAAGCAGCATGACTACTTACCCAGATGAATTAATTATAAAAAGACTGTGAATCATAATGAAAGGAAGAATATGAAATTAACGTTGTGAAATACTATTCACGTTCTATATATCTATGTTATCCGTTACATAAATAGTCTCTTTTTATTGTTTCTCGCTATCACACTGTTAACCATGTTGGTAATCTGTGGTCAACATTCAAACCAGATGACGTGACAAAAAGTATTGCCAAGTGATGAAAAGAAAACAAGTTCAACATTTTGGCCACTCAAGGGGTACTCCACATCCAAAACACAATGGAATGTCGTGTTTCATTTAACGATACTGAATCAACTGTAGATTCTGAAATATCGATTGATATTATACTTCACCATATATGAAGTTTTATGGGACTTTATTGTGTCAAAATAACATCGGTGTCAACTATTAAGATGCAATACAAAATTCACCAAATGATTAACAAAGTGGCTAAAAAGACATCCATAAAATGTATGGACATTGTCATTGTCGGTGACACTTGTAACATCCGATTCAACGTATTTCATAATTTAAGAAAGGGTTGACGAAAATCAGGAATATTTGGTGTGAATATCATGCCGTAGTGTACTTCTCGAATATCATACTTTCAAACTTCTCATACTCTGTGACACCTTCGTGACGGAGGCGGTAAGATACCATTACCCACGATCCTCTACGCATGAGGAACACAAACTTGACCTAACCGAAACTAACCTCTTCGCTAAGTGAGCCCTTTTACATATGCAATAATGTGAGAATGGCTGGACGGAAACTCATTTGGTATAGGCGATATACCAATGGCACTAATACAAATTTACATGGCGTAATTACGTCACTGCCCACGATCCTCCGCGAGTTTGCAACTCCAGCCAAAACTTCATTGGTCATACCTGCTTTTACGCATTTTATAACTGGAAAATGAAGGCGAAACTCAAAGTGGCGAACAGGACTTCACCAACTTCATGCATTCAAACTTATTACACTGCGTAAAAAGTTCATAATGGATGTTCACATTCATGAGATGGAATGATGACATCACAGAAGTTTGGTGTAAATGGAGAATGATACACACATAGCTGAAATCAGAACATGACACATTTACAAAAAACAGATGAACGTTAAAAGAATAAAGCTGGACAAATATTTGGCTCAGCAAACATACTTCACTACGAAAGATATGGTCAAGTTTTTATTGACTGGTTAAGTAAGCAATATACACATATATAAAAAGACTGCTTAACCACATTTCTTTACAAACAGAAACTAAAGTCAATACTATTTCAAAATAAGTGTATTTTCAAATATACAATCTTCTATCATTTAATGAATACAGTAACCAATATTTTACAAATATGTGTACATGAAAGTGATGTCAATACATATAATGTACATAAGTGGGGCTTATGTTAACAGTTATAACAATTTTCTCAGTTAACTGTGTATGAGATGCAACATGTCTTAAACTGGTACAAATACATGACCTCATTTTGTATGATTATTCTAGCCACACACCAGAACACAATCTTTAAAATAAATAAAAAAAATTGTTATCTCACATGTATTTCATCATAAAATTAGTATTGGGACTACATTATGCATTTTAAATGTAGTCAAAAAATGATTAAGGTACATATGTTCCTTTTATTTTACCAAATGCATCAATAAGTTCCCACAAGCCATAATTTCAATGTTCACTCAGGTACTATCATAAATCTGTCAACATGAACACTACACAGGGAAGAATTAATATTTTCTGCTCATTTAAGCAATGAATTGTATTCATATATTTGAGTATATGTTAATTCTCTCTACAAATCAATCCTTGATAAGTTGACTGTAAAATGGAAGGAACCAGAACAAGGAACTGGAACCACAGCATACACACTATATTTGACATTTCAAATGAGCTGCAAGATGCCTGTGTTCTTGCACTGTACTGTTGTTCGGAAAAATTAAGTATCACAACATTTTGCAATATCATAGAAAACATAGATTAAAAGAATAAACAGGACCTTACTATTACTGCTACTATTAAAAGATTTATGTACATTATCATATATATTAACTTCATAAATTCATTCAAATACAGACAGAATATTCACAATTCTCATACCTCCGCTAAAAAGACAGTTGTCACTTCCCAACTGAGAAATGATAATGGCAGTACTTTCAAACTTAAGATAACATTTTATGTACAAGACTTAAATACATTGTTCATTCAACACTGTGAATTAATTAATTCATTATGGAACATGCACAAAATAAATGACCAAAACAAACAACAAGAGGGTATCACAGCACACTGCACAGTCTGCTTCACACTTCTTTACAAAGTACACAGTAATATTGTATTTACCTTTACCAAATAAGCATGAAAAAGATCCATTAGAATGACTGTAGTTGTTATGACTATGTTACAAAAAAAATAACCAATTAAAAACACTTCCCTACAAGAACACAGACCATTCAAATGCATGCACAAGATGTGTTTGGAGGTTTAAAAGTCACTCATCTGTCAGGCAGGCTATCAATGTAGTCTTCTTTGAATAAAACAAACTGCACTAGTAATACAAGAATTCAGTACTTAAAAACATTCATTTCATTTAATGTTTATGTCTGCTCCAAGATATGGCTTTTTATTCATACACACCATGTTTAAACACAAAATAAAAATCCATATGATAGACAAACTCCATATGGAGCTAAATTAATTTATTACAGAATTGTAAGAATAATAGATGAGATAATGCACATACTCAACTTCTTACTGAGTATCCAATCAACAGCCAGGTCAGAGAAATACCCCGAGGTCCAAGACTGTGATACAGGCTGGCATGCCAAAGAGCAAGACAGAATGATGACTGGTAACAAAAACCCAAATTACTTGCAGAAAAACTTGTTTCAGTGCTGCTATGATCACCGAATATCTCATGTGAACTGTCCTAGGACTGAATGGCTTCTGAGGTAAGACACCGGCATCTAACCACATCTGCAACTGGATGGCCTAATGTTTCTGTGCTATTAACAAAACTTTCAGCCAGATCACGGCAGCATGTTGCTATTACCAACAAACCATTTCTTTTCATGACATGTATCTCTTCATGATAAATATATGAAAAAGACTCAGCACATAACTGTTCACAAGCAAGAAACTATAATCTGTACTACTGATTATACAATTTGTGTGACATGCTCCCCTTTAGCATAAAATAGCAGGGAGGGTGGCATAGCAGCGATAATAATCCAGTCTGTTGTGTTAATCAATGGACATTAAAGCCACAAGCTCTGTTGCACAGTCTCTTTTTGAAAATGTGGCATGCAATATGTCATTATTTTATTTTCCAAACCTATTAATACCAGATGTGTGTTCCAAATATATGATTTGTGATAAGATAGTAACTACAACCAATAATTTTCTGAAGGATTATAACAGTGGAAAATAAACAGCTACAGCAGCCTGAGGCAAAGCCAGAACAAATATACACCTCCTGCAAGCATTCGTGGCATGTTGTTTATGCAGCTTTAAGTTAGATCTCTGTGAACCATAAAATATGTTTCAATGTATATGAATGAGATTTCAGTGTTACATTGGCATAAATGAAATAAATGTGGCACAGTGCACACACATAGAAAAGTACATTACAGACAACATAAAATTAACTTCTTAGATGTTTTTTGTACATAGCAATTAACATAACCAACACAGTCTGTTGTTCATTTCTTTACTTGTCACAATCACTTAGTACAGCAGCATACAGATACCACATTTATCCAAATTTAATTTAGCATCTGAAACAGGGATTATCCTATAATCACAAAGAAAGCAAAATGCTTCACCGTGACTGTTTTACATCACCAGTAGTGCAAAGTACTCGACAGTGGTTTAAGTGCAAGTAGTATTGTTATCCAAGGAGTAAGTAGGTATAGGTAGCTTAACTGTATATATTATTTCAAACCTATATTAAACAGTGATGGGGGATGGGGACATGGTAACCAACTCAACATTAAAATTAGGAAAAAATAGTTTTTCAATGAAGTAATTTTTGAGAAGAGGAATTACTTTACATTTGGGCAAATATAGTATTTATTAACTTTCATACATAGTCCACTTCAATTTCATGTCTGACAGCACTCTGGTAGTTAAGACAGACACTGGTCAAATTATAACAAAGGAGATTCTTACATTCTATTTCTGCCAAATAAACAAACAGCAATGGAATGGGGGAGCTCCTTATATACTATATTAAGGCCCCTTTTAATTGTGGAAGAATTCTTCCAAATATTTCTTTCAATTTTATCATGTAATATAAGAATGTAGCAAAACTGAAACGGTATTCCAATAGCTAAGACAAATGGATCATCGTAACATGTCTTACAAACTCATGTCACACTTACAATCAAATTTAAGAGGCATTATATTTATTTACACAATACTTACAGTCCTGCTAGCTTTATATTTCCAAGAATCGCTGTTGTAGCAAGAAAAATTTAACACTTTAGAATCGCAAGTGTGGTTTATTCTTGATCATGTGCCTGAAAAAATGGAAAAATCAGATGTTTGTCTTCAAACTTTTAAGAGAGAGTTCATAATATAGATTGATCCTCTTGCTACAGAACCAAGACTTTCAGCAATAAAATCACTATTTATACACTGACAGTGGTCAAATGTTATATGTATGAACCTCAGTCCTTGTGAAACTGCATCCCATTACATAAGGTTTTGAAAGTGATTTACCCACACAATGCTCCAAATATTCTGGAAACCAAATTATCTCAAAAGGCATCTGGGCAACACAGTTCCCGATTTAAGCACATCATATTTTTCCCTATGGGCCATACTGAAGGGAAATGTGTACACTAACAAGCCTTACATCAACAATGACCTCAGAGAAAATATTCGTCAGGAGAATGGAGACTGCAGCCAATCATGCAGAGATATTTCAATGTGTTTTCACTAATTTGGAGAATTCTGTCCAGTCACAGATACCAGGAGTGACCACTTTCAAAACCATGCAGTTTCACATGGACCAAAGTTGACAATTACATCACCACCGCTTCACAAATATGGATTTTACTGCTGAAAGTCAGAGACCTCTAGCTAGAGGCTCCCTCTATAGTTTTTCCTAATATGTAACATTCCAAACTATTGAACAAATACATTAAATTCAAATGACTGTCCTTCCAAAGAGAAGTATTTGAACTAAACATGACATGTACCACGAAATTCTATTTAACACATCCTGGGTTCAATACCCTACACCTTTTATATTTCTTCAGTTGTCCATTGTGATCTGCTGCATTTTGATGTCATGTAGTCTTGTAATACAGTTACCAACCTTCTGGAGTAACATACCATCTCCATAATCGTTCTACCCTCTACCCTGAAAATAAATGTGGTATTTTCCTCCAAAACGCTGGTAACCACCTACAATACCACTGTACAAACTCAAGCTCAGTATAAAATAGTTCCCACTCACTTATCTAGTTTCTCCCAGAAGACCATTAATGCGGCACGATCCAAATGACGTTTGGTACGTGACAGTTCAATAACATGTACAGCCCAACGACCAACATTAGAATCCAACTTCATCTCATCATACTTGATATGGAATGCACAGACTGAAGAAAAGAGAACACAGAGAACTGTCAACAAATATTGCAGGTAAAACCCAGTCCAGCTGCATAATATTTAGCTATTAACACAAACATAAGGATTCTGCAAGTTCAGAAAATCACACAACTTACCTCTCAAACAGCCTTAAACATGAACACCATGAATTAACCTATAGGCACAATTCTCACTCTGGTATTTGTTTTAGACAAACATACTTATGGCACAATAAAAATACCATGTACGAGGTGCGATCGAAAGGTTTCAAGACTGCGCGTATAAAAACCCGTACACTTATCTCAGGTATTAAATTCATCCATCACCCTCGAAGTAGTTCCCCTGGGAGTGAACACAACGATCCCAGCGCCCCTGCCAAGTGTGGAAGCATCCCTGGAAATCTTTCTTTATCAGCCTGTCAAGCACCATCTGCGATTCTGCCTCAATCTCTTCTATCGTCTCAAATCTCCTTCCCTTTAGCTGAATTGTCATCTTTGGGAAGAGGAAGAAGGCACTTGATGGTACGACGTCGATCTTCGTAACATTTTCGGGCGTTGTGCTCGGAGATGGTCGTCCAGAACGCTCGTCATCATCGCCAGAGGTTCGGCCATTTTTAAAACGTGAATGCCCCACAAAAGTTTGTGCACGACCCATTGCGGACTCCCCAAATGCTTGCTTTAGCATTTCATAGGTTTCCGTAGCCGTTTTGGCGAGTCTTTGGCAAAATTTGATGCGCACGCCATTCCGAAATCGCAGGAGGGTCGGTGTAATGCACTACCAAAACGCCCGTAACTAAGAAACAAAAGCTAATTCAATGATGCCGGCTGGCACACTGATTCGCCCTCTATTGACACAGTCTTGAAACTTTCCGATCGCACCTCGTACAGAAAAAAAACAACACATGCAATAAAAATGGTATTTCAAAACTACAATGCTTCAAAATTTAGAACATCAGAAATTAAAAATGTAATAAGTTACAATACTGAGATGACTATATCTAAAACATTGATGTCATCAACAAACAAGCAATAATACAAAGGAAATGGACTCCACTACCAAATTTAGATTACTTAGATTTAAGTTCACTTAAATTTGATTTTGGATTTGTGTTTTACACCGCGAAAAACCAATGTAGTTAGGCCGACACAACACACAAAACCACAATTTAACTGTTTGTATGAGTGAAACTAGATCTCACAGTCAAAAGGAAATACAAAGAACAAGGTGCTCTGAATAATACATGGGTCTGTGACAGAGGAAGGTAAAAGGTTGTTCCTGGAGCTTAATTACTGCACCATGCACATGCATAAGGGAATTGAACCCCAGTCATCCAGACAATACCCCAGTCAATAAATTGACAGAACTACTCCAGCTCTGTTGAGAGAGGAAAACTGAGACAACTACATAAAAAAGAATTCATAATTTGCACAAATATTGCTGTGAAAAGTTTTGGCCTTACTCTTTGAAAATATCTCTACAGGATTACCATCCCATGGCCAACCCTTGAACTGCCACGCTGGGCCCATCACAAAGACAGCAACAACACGGTCCCAATCTGCATTTGTCAGTTTCTGAGGGTTGTCAATAACTCGATATGGCACAGTGAGAGCGCCTTCTTTCCGACGCTGAAGCAGGATTTCATTATCCCGTTTCGCACCCTGAAGTTTCTTCTCTTCAGTACTTACAAATCTGCATAATATTAAATAGATATAAAATCAGGAATTATAATATTTAATTGCTCTAAGACAAACATCAGTGAAAGTTTAAGTTTCAACACTAAGATGAGGAAAAAATCAAACTCCTAATTGCAATTTGAGAGTTCAATTTCATCTCAGCTCTCCAAGAAATTGATTACAATGGCAATCTTAAGTGTCAAAACACTACCTTACACAAAGTCTCTCAAATATCATGCTATCTGATTTTTTTGTTTTACTTCATGCTAATGCATGCATCTACCTGACTAAAAAATGAGCACGAAATCAGATCCACTTAAATGTTATACTAAAAAAGACGTTATTTTGGTTTTGTTGTTATGCATGCATTTTTGTATCATGGTCAAAATGACAACCAAGAACAATGATTATCCAATGATGCTGAAGTCAGCAGTAATACATTAATACATGTAACAAGAAATGCTCTACATCTTAATATTTTTAAGAATGAAAACTAATTTATCACATTTCTTTTTTTAGTTTCACTTGAATAATATGTTCTGAAACCTCACCTCAGATCCTGCAGGACATCTTTAGCATTGTACATTGTAATGAGGGATGTTGTTGCAGCTGGTATGATTATTATTGGAGTCCGAGAGATACGCTTGCTGGGTTGAACTGCAATTCGTGCCTAATGAAAAAATGTGAAATGACTATCTACAAGTAATAACAGCAGCACACTTTGCATCAGAAGACGCACATACACATGCACACATACCTCAGCCACAGGTCTTGGTTGGGGCATAATTGGTTGAGACGGAGTTTGTAGTTTCTTTGGTTGTGTTCCTTCAGTCACAGACTTAAGGGTCATTCCATGGTAAGTTCCCAGTGTGTCTATTTTGAATCCCTCAGTTTCTATAAAACAATTATTTGTTACTTAACACTTAATGTTTTAAAATGAACAAATGACTGTAATTATAGGCTATAACTTACTCACCACTTTTATAAACAAATTTAAAATACTAATACCAGTAAATATGGACATGCTATAATCTTACTACAATATTATATGCTGAAACAATTATCCTCTAGTTCAGATCACAGACATTTTCATAAATAATACAAATGACATGAAGTAACATGATTTAACTAACCTTTATCACATGGGTATAGGAAATTTAAACTTGTGTATTATGGGGCTGCCAGATGGACTGTGCATAAGATGTGATACAAGGTTAATAAAGGTTAAACAAAAGGACCTATTATATGTGTCTTTTCACACATCCAACTGCTAATGCCTCCTATCCAATAGGTTCAGGGTTTTCTTTCTGCAGGGGTATAGCAACCAGGCTGTGTAGCCATCATTCACCTCGACCTATTGCTGAGGTTAAAAATATGTTAAGCTCTCCATGCCCACATGCATCTTCATAACATGGTTCTTTAGCACAAGAACAATTCTACTTCTATTGTACTGTATTGTACTGGAAAAACTGGAAAGAAAATGTACACAGAAGATTTCAGGCTGGATACCAAAAATGATTTTAGGATACCACCCAAAAGGAAAGAGACGTTTGGGCTGACCCCTCAAAAGATTGAAGAATTCTGTTATTTAATGCCTGTAACAGGCCATATAGTCTATACTGAGAAGGAAGAAAAAGACCCACTCTTAAAGAGACTGTCTCTTTTTAAGAGTGACCTACCTTTATCAGTTACTCTCAAATTTGGACCTATCTGCTGTCATATTTTTTTCCATTACCTCGCTCTTTGGTAAACAGACCATCAGCCACTGAACAATAAACACCAAATGGCAATATTGAAATTACACTTTCAGTATTGAAATCTAAAGTGATCAACTACTTCCCAGCATAGTACGATAAAATGTTTGTTGTAATCTTCAGTGTCACTGTGGCCCTTTTATCTGGTTAAGTGATGCAAATTTAGTAACCCATTTGTACATATAAGTATACAAACACATAAAGCATATGATACTTTCAAAAAGACTAACCTTCCTTTTGTCGGATGAACCTCTCCTGATCATATCTGTTGTATACAGCAGGCTGTGGTATGGATCTAATGGGAGTTGCTCGCGGGGTGACAATAGGTGTAGGCTGTGGAGGCCTGTGTCGCCCCTCCTCTCGAGCTTTAATTGATTGCAGAATAGCAAAAATGTTCTTTGCAAATATCTAGGGAAGATTTAAAACAATGTCAATTTCTTACAACAGTTAAACTTAACTCAACAATTTTTCCACTACATGTCTGTAGTAAATACAAATATTAGAAATAAAACTTGCACTTACCTCAAAAAATTGTTCAGAAAATATGCAGGATTAAATTATGTGCCAGTTATGTACTACTTAATATACAGAAATGCATACAACACATGGTTTCCGAGCAGGAAATTATATTAAATTACTACATGAATAAATCCTCAATCCCTTACATCTGTTATATTGAGGGTAATTCATTAATTACATGAATATGAATAAACATCTGAGGGAAAAAACTTACATATTATCTTACAGTGTAATCATCTTTCAACACAACACACTACTTTCACTTTAATTCTAAGGACTTCATTCCCGCAACATAGAAACCAATTTCTGAACTTCAAACAAAACATAAATTATACCTTTCAGTTCATGAAAGCTGGAAAACCTGTTTCCCTGGAACCCCAAGGGAACACACTTGCATGAATAATGAGAGGTTCAGTATCCATGAAAATAGTGTTTGTGAGCTAAAGCAAAGATACTGTTGTGACCACCTTCCATTTTCACAATATTAATTTTTCATAAATTTCTTGGCCATACATTGTAATAGCATGCCCAGATCTTGGGGTCACCTTTGACTGACTGCCTTCCTTCCCCATCAGACATTCTTGCAAAAAAAATAAAATAAAATAAAATAAA